CACACACACACACACACATATATATATATATATATATATATATACATTATTACTCACAAGTTCTTAAATTTAAGTTATTTTTCTTAAAACAAGGAACATTAAATAAAAAGCATATAGGAAACAATGATTTCTCTCACTACCAATGCTAAAGAAAAAGTTTGCACTTTTGATGCTTTGTTCTTACTAACTCTCACCATAAGCCTTGTTGAATCTCACACATGGAGGTCGGTAAACAAATTAACTTTTGTAAATTTTACGTATGCATTTTGAAATATCAAAAAATGATAAATTACTAGATTGATACTTCAAAAATACCACTGTAATTTATATAACTTTCTAACAAAGCTACATGTGGGTCTCAAAAAATGTCATTCCTGTTCTGGCTGTTGGCTTGATCATCATACTTCTATTTCTCTAACAGTATAATGACATTCTCCGTGTCAATAATTTATGAAGACTGACAGTCTTACATAGCTCAAAGGGGGAACTTTCGATTGATTACAAACTGACGTCAGTTATATAGAGGGTAAGATTCCAAATTCACTTTGAAGTCTAGAAGGTAGGTGTGATATCTGTCAGGAGTTAGCAAAATATATTTCTTGTTGCAGGGAAGAATTAACCCTAAGGACTTTGAAAGGGGGATGTGTAAACAAGGCAACTAACCTAGTTTCTTTTCTATGCATAGAAGTTCAGCATACATCAAGAAATAGTCAAGCCTCAAAGATGGAAAAATAACATTTTGTGAACTCATGCATCACGTGACAACAAAAACTAAAGTTTAAGAATTTTCTTTAAGGTTTCTTTTGAAATAAAGGAATTAAAACTTAGATAATATAAAACTTTGAATTATGTTGTAAATTTTTATGCTAAATGCATTGGTATACATTGATAGTAACATTGCTTAATTAGTTTTTAAATGTAACACAGTAAAATCTCGTGATGTGCAGTACAGAGGTACCTGTAATCATAGGGTTTAGAAACTAAACTTCCTGCACAGTGTACCTGAAACACACCAAACACAATTCGTGTGTACATATATAAATATATATTTGTAAAAATGTATTGGTGTATGTATCTAACCTATATTAACTGACATTTGTCATTTGGTGATATTTTGCAGTAAAGACCATTCTCTTCACAGACTTGAACTTGGAAAGATTACTCCTGGACGACAAGCTTCATAGATGAATTCAGTATTTTACTTTAATGTAAAGCTTCACAGACACTATATATATATAGTTTCTTTGTAATGCTGTAAATGTAGCCAATTATAGTTATTATTCTTGCTCAGTCACTTATTTTATCTGTAGAAAAACAAAATTTATGAATAAAGCACCCAAGTTGAGCATTTTTACTTGTGAACAAGTTTCTTGAAGATATATTTGGTTGTTTTATGCCAGAAATAAAATTATTTTATTTTGTAATATTAATGTAATGGACAATATGTTTAATATTACAATGATAGTTTCTGAGATGATACCTTTGCATGCAGAATAGTTTAATCCCTCTTGCATCTGCCTATGACACATATATACCACTAGCCTTGAGTTAACACCCACCAAACAAGCTTGTGTTGAACATGAACTGCACTTGTACATGATGGCCACCAAAAGGAAGGTGATGCAACCTTCTTGTGCAATAGCTCTCATAGGAAGGATCAACCTATCCTGTGTAAAGAGGTAACTATTAGAAATATATTTTCAGGTAAGGAAAATGTTAACTTTGGCATTAATGAAGTCAAACCTCTTCTATTTTTTATTTGTCTATGTGATTGTTTGTTATGAAAAGTATGTAGTATAACAAGTTGTTTATGTTTTTGTCCTCAAAGTTAACAAAGACTCAAGTTTCTGTTGGTATATTGTGTTTACAACATGGATGGATGCCTCAATGGTAAGTTGGGTGATTATTGGTACTTAGGGGCCCCATTCGGCAATTAAATTTGATTAATCGATTAGTAAAGTATTCCTCAAACCATGGTACATATAAGCAAGAAAAAGAGGTAGGTGATGGATGCCGCCAGTCAAGCTACCCTTCCCCTTGGATAGTTGGAATAATTGAAAATAGTAATTATTGGAAACTGTAATTTTTATTATTTAATCATTTTTATGACAATTGATTTAATCATATTTTTGATAAATTTATTATTGAAATAATCAAAAACAGTAAAAATTAGAAAACTAATTTCTACTAATCAGTTTAGTCATATCTTCAATTAATCATATTTTTGATAAATTTATTATTGAAATAATCAAAAACAGTAAAAATTAGAAAACTAATTTCTACTAATCAGTTTAGTCATATCTTCAATTAATCATATTTTTGATAAATTTATTATTGAAATAATCAATAACAGTAAAAATTAGAAAACTAATTTCTACTAATCAGTTTAATCATATCTTCAATTAATCACTTAGTTTACATAACATTAATCTGTGTGATTGTTTCTCATAGGTAATCAATTAAATCTCTCAACTCCACTTGTTGGGTTGCTGCTTATTAACGTAAATTACAGTTCATCACACATTCATACTTTTAACTAAAACATGTTGATATTTTTAAATGTTTTCAAATTACAGTGTAATTGTTTTAAACTACACAGGCCTGCAAATTTAAACTTCATAAAAGTTGTTTTGGTTTTAGTAACAGATTTTCTGTAGTTCGTGCTAAGGAGATTTCAAAATAATATTTTTTTCTATCACATAAGTATTTGTTACAAATTGGAAAGAAAAAACTCTTAGTTAGGTCAAATTATTATTTTCTTTACCACAATGAACATTTTTTCTTATTATGTTTGATAACAAAAATACAAACAAACTGAAGAAAAGGGAAGATCATTGATGTCAAACAAATATGCATCCTCATTTATCCTGATTTTTTAAAATTAAATCTACGTCTTTTAGTCTAAAAACAACGTGTTGTGGTCTTGTATGTTATTTGTTGGTTTTTTTATGGTTTGCACACTTTACATTATTTATTGACAGTATGTACATCTTGTATTAAAAGGATTAATATACATTTGACAGACCTTGTCACTTTTAGTTTCTGTTTAGCTTATAATAATTTAAAGTATACAAACTTGCTTATCATTCTTAATGTATAAAATGTGATATTACATTCTGCCAAAAAGTACACACATGACTGACTTTTACATCATTTTCATAAGTACTAATTCAGACTGATACATTAAAAGTGTGCACACATCCAAATAACCCACATGTTTGAAGTAACTTGAAACAAACTGTAAATAGATACAATAACAGAAAGTTTGCTTTAAGGCTGAATGAAAATAATGTAATTTATTTCTCTATTAAATATTAAAGAAATAGATAATCAGATAAAAGTTAGGCTACAGTTATCTTCTTAAAATTCAGAAAGCAAGAATAATAACTATGTAATAGCCCGACAGCCTCAATGGCCTGAAGATGTAAGGGAAACACACTATAATTTTTCAGTGCAATCATAATATTCTTAGTCAATTTATATATACATGAAAATTCTAAAATGTTTCATTTTACTAGAGCATTACCAAAGTTCCATTTTATTTGACTGTGGCTGAAAGGTTTAACAAAATTTGACTTATAAAACAGTGTTAGGTGTTTTCGTGGTCATTTCTTACCTTGTCAACATACCATAGGAATATAAATTTCTAGCCTGTTAGTCACTTTAGACACAGGTTGAAAGTACCTATGCTGGTTCAACACGTTATTGGGATTCAAATCATAATTTGTGTAGAAAGTTTTATTTTATTTTTTATAAAATTATATAAATATAATAGTACTGTCTGTTGCCTGTTTATGTCCATGTAACTACTTTGCAGGGTGTGGATGGATCTTCACCAAAAATGGTATGGAGGTTCATTAGGCCCATGCGGAGTTTTGAATTTTGCAGTTTTACTGCCATTTTGCATTTTTTACCACCTTACTTTGCTCCCTGTAAATGGATCGTCACAAAATTTGGTATGGAGGTTCATTGGGTCCATGGAGAGATACATACAAATTTGTGGTTTCATATTTTGTGTTTTGCAGTTTTTATGGGCATTTTTGTATTTTTTTTACAATTACACATAAGGGAATCAACTTTTCATGCTCTAAGATAACCTTTAAGTAATCATGAATTTACATAACTTCCATCCAGGGGACTTGTATTGCAGCTAGTGTTAAATAAATTGATAACTCTGTGATCATGGGTACAAAATATTTATGGTAAAAATACCAAACATCACAAAACTACCACTTGCATATTTTTTAGAAGTAATGTCTTAAAATTCATTTTTATAATTGTTGTATTTTATTACGTAAAATATGATACTAAATACTGAGATTTTTTAAAATTACATTGTTCATGATATATTGTACAATTACATTTGATGTTATCTTATTTTCCATAGGAAGCACTAGTTATGTATTCATTATATGAAAAATGGATCTTAATCAAGAACAGAAAACCATTGCTACAGTTGATAATATATTTAGTATTCAGATATTTTGAGGTATACATATCCTATCGTAAGTAGTCTATAACACATCAAAGATGGTACTAATTCAAATATAATTGTGATAATTTGTTTTCAACAACATGTTTTCCACAACATGGAAAGCACAGACAGTGATATCCTGTCCATTTATTGACTGCCCAGATCATAGCTTTTTGGGAGTTATGGTTATTTCTGCTATAACATCATACAGTAAGAAATTCCATTTAGTGGATGGATGCTGCAATAAATTCTTCAGGAAGAGCAACTGAAGGATCCAGGGAAAGTGTGGGCACTGTTTGCCCTGCAGCAAGGTAAAGCATATCTAGCTAAAACTGGGGAGTGTGGCAGATGCAAACATAACATATGACACTTGTATGATCAGTTATGAGTGCAGGAAGGTGTGCATTGCCATTGCTACCAACCACTGAGAAGTGGTTCTCAGCCTGTGTTACAGCTTGTGGTCCCCAGGACTCCAAGGCATGAGATTTTCCGAATTTTGCATAACACAAAGACTGGAAGGTACCAAGGTTTTACAGTTGTACTAACATTAGAGAGTGGTTCAGTTGACCATGTTCAAGTCAACATATTCACAACTAGTGTGTATGGTGTATGATGCCCAGAAGAAAAGTTGATCTAAACAGGGTAAACTCCAACAAAGAATTTTTGGTTCTCCTCTCCAGAGAATAACTCTGGATATTGTTGCTTCACTCCCAAAGAAAGAAAAAGGTTGCTTGTACATATTCATGTTTCATGGACTACTTTACAAAGTGTGCTGAGATTTATGCATTGGTCCCTATGTCTGCTGAGATCATGGCTGATGCACTGGTGGAACACTAGATAGCTTAGTTTGAAATACCTGAATAGGTCCATTCAGATCAGAGTCAACTGTTCTCAGAGTTATATAAAGTGTTGGGTATAATGTAGATGTACAGTTTTCTATATCACTCCCAGTCTGTTGAGTTACTGAAAAGGGTAATACAGACTGTGAAGTGCATGCTTGCTAGGTTTATCAGTTTAGACTGGGATGAACACTTGCCCTGTGTCATGATGGTATATCATGCAATGGAACCAGACTGAACAGGCTGTTTGCAAAATATTCTAACATTCAGTTGAAAAGTTTTACTTTCTGTAGTTGTAATGTATGGTCCTCTGCAATGAGCAGATGTCCCTTCGTGTCCATAGGAATATGTAGAGCTGTTTAAGTCTATATTAGTTGAAGTGCACAAGTTCACTCATCCGCACCTGGGAAATGCCAACATATATCACAGAAAATGCTACCATAAGACAGTAAAAAGAATGGATACACCAAATTGGAAGTGGCTTTGGTATGTACCAGCAGTTGGACCAGACCTCATCGTGTGATCCAATGACTTGACCTATTTGATGTGTGAGAGACAACTGTTCAAGGGTGCATACAGTATATCATGTTGATCGGTTGCATCCATACTCCAATGAACTGGCATGTTCAAGAGTTAAAAGAGGAAGTAATTAGATCAGATGAAAATACTGTATTATCCCACTATGACCTGAAAGATAAGAATTGAGATTACTTATCTGGTTCTTCAGGATTAGAAAGAGTCATAAGAAGAAAGACTTGGCATCAATTGTCTATAAAGCTGTTAACAACAGTATTTAGGTCAGTATGGCTGGAAGTTATACTGGATAAGCAGTTAGAATGATCATTAGGTTGAGCATTAGATGACTGAAAGGAAGTGTTGATCCTTGCTATCAAGTGATGTTCACTATACAGTATATAAACTACATTGTGTGATTTCCTCTTGATTACCATGAAGCTAGGATGGCTTGTGCTGGTAGATATAAGGCCTAGTGCATCACTTTTTTTTTTGACTGAAGATGATAGCGAGAGTTTGAAAACACGG